AAAAAAAAAAAAAAAAAGAACCAGGCCTTATATCACCACCTGAGCTCCACCTCCCCCTCCACCTCCCCTGCCATGCCCCCCACCCTGTCTGTGGAAAAATTATCTTCCATGAAACTTAGGAACTAGACACACAGCAGGAGGTGAGCGGTGGGTGAGTGAGCGAAGCTTCATCTGTATTTATGGCTGCTACAGCTGCTCCTACCCCCTTCCTCTGTCTATGGAAAAATCATCTTCCATGAAACTGGTCCCTGGTGCCAAAAGGGTTGGGGACCGCTGATCTATAATGCATCATTGAATATTTATTTAAAGGTCACCTACAGGGGGAAATGGGGAGGATGTGAAAGGTGTAATAGGTAAAAAGAGTCTCCTTAACAAGGCATGTCTTTATCTATTCTATTTACTAACTGGTATCTACCCTTTCTGATTTCTGTCATCAAAAACTTTTTTTTTGATACTTTTACGACCACAGAACAAATAGTACCTTATTGTGCCAAGCTTTGTTTTAAGAGAATTTTGCATATATAAACTATTTCAAGATGGTTGAATGAGTATTCTGAAGCTTTTCTATTTTATCTTCTTGTTTTTCTAGGTCGTACATTTCCTGTAGATCAATTTTTTTTGGAAGATGCAATTGCTGTGACAAGGTAAGGAAGGTATTAATTAAGATCCAGTGATAGTCTTTGAAAACAGAATTAATATTTTCCCCTCAGTGTACCAGGATACTAATACATATGTTAATCTTTCCTCTAATTTTTCTACACTTGATCTTAGCCAAAATGCCAAGAAGTTATTTTCTTCTAATTTTTCTATTAGAGCATTTTGTTTTCCCCTTTCTTTTAGCAAACAGACTACCAGTAATTTAAATCCCTCTACTTACTAACTGTAACTTTGGCAAGTAGCTTAATTTCTCTGAGCCTCAATTTCATCATATGTAAAATGGGTACATTAATAGTAGCTACTTTGCAGGGTTATCATGAGGATTAATTAATGAATTAATACTTGCTAAGAGCTTAGAACTGTGCCTGGCACACAGTACATGATCCTATAAATGTTAGCTATTAGTATCATCATCATTTTGCTCTCATGGAGTTTACAGTATAGTCTGAATGTTAAGATGTCTGGGCCATGTGTGGTGGCTCATGCTTGTAATCCCAGCACTTTGGGAAGCCAAGGCGGGAGGATTGCTAGAGGCCAGGAGTTTGAGACCAGCCTGAGCAACATACTGAGACCTCATCTCTACAAAAAATAGAAAAATTAGCCAGGTGTGGTGGCAGGCACTTGTATTCCCAGCTACTCAGGAGGCTGAGGCAGGAGGATTTCTTGAGCCCAGGAGTTTGAGGTTGCAGGGAGCTACAATGATGCCACTGCATTCTGGCCAGGGCGACAAAATGAGACTCTGTCTCAAACAAACAAAAAAAATTATTATTTTCTGGGTCTTGTCCCACTCCTACTGAATATAAGTTTCTGAGGAAATCATCTTTCAACTAGTTTACCTGTCTTTATTTTTTCATTTTTCAAACTCACTGCCTCCAGAATTATCTTTAAACATAGAAATGGTCTTCTTCTCCCTCTTAAAAACTTTGGTTGGCCAGGCAAGGTGGCTCACTCCTGTAATTCTAGCACTCTAGGAAGGCCGAGGTGGAGGATCGCTTGAGCCCAGGAGTTTGAGGTTGCTGTGAGCTAGGCTGATGCCATGGCACTCTAGCCCGGGCAACACAGTGAGACTCTGTCTCAA